AAGACGTCCCAAGAGGGCTTCAAGGCGGCCCCAAAAAGGGCCCAAGAGACGGAGCACAAACCGAAATCATAGCATTGCGCCCCAAGAGGCCCCCAGGAGGCCCCAAGGGGCGCCCAGGAGGCCTCCATGAGGCCCCCAAGAGGCCCCCAAGAGGCTCCCAAGAGGCCCCGAGGCCCCAAAACGGCCTCCAAGAGGCATCGCACCTGCCTCCAAGAGGCCCCCGAGAGGCCTCCCACGAGACCCCAATGAACATCCAACAGGCTTCACGCCCACAACCCAGGCACGGTGGCGGCATTGGCTGAGGGCCATTAGATGTCAGCGCCGATGCTGCACATAACCTCCAAGGAGTGGCATCCAGAGGAGGGGTGACGAGGGCCCCTGCATGGCCTGAGACACAAGAGACTCGGCGGGTCCGCCGCCTCGCCTCGGAGCACGGTCCGGCCTCGCCGACCTGGGCTTGGGCTGACCCAGGCCAGCGCGATGAAGGGCAACGACAGGGGGGGACTGGCTCGGGGGGGAGGAACATCGCACTGGAATCGGCGACACATCGCCGACAGATCGCCGATTGCTCCACGGTGGCGAATCCGCACGCCCCTGGGCGGGGTGGGGCGATCAACGCCTACCGACGATCAGTAGGCGACTGGGGATCGGTGCCTTCTCCCCTGAGCCTCCCCCCCTCCCCCGAAAGGTCCCCTTCGGTTTTCGGGCCGTAAGTCAGGGCTGAGCCTAAACGGTGTTTTTCGTTTTCGTTTTGTTTTCGTTCTCCCTCGCTTTGTCTTCAATCCACCTCTACCGCAAAACGAAGTCGAAACGAAAGCGGCCCACGAAATCGCCAAAACACCGTTTAGGTCCAGCCCCTGCCATAAATTGACTCTCTAGCACCCCCAGACGCCCCTCGGCGAGGCGCAGCTGCTGGGGATCACCCCGAGGCTGAAGACCGCTGGGAACCGACGAAGAGCACCGAAAACACCCCCACTGCGCCGTTCGATTGGAGCTCCGACCTTCGATGGGAACCTCCCATCGCTGCCCCTGATGCGTCCCCGACGCCCGGGGGGGGGGGCCCTGGCCCACCCGGTCTCTGTGCCTTCCCCTGGGAGCCCGCCCAGGGCCAGGGGCCAAGAGGCCCTCGGACGGCGGCGGCGACGTGCCCCGGCGACGTGCCCCGGAGAACCGGCGAGGCCCCCACCGCTCGCCCCGGCGAGGTCCCCCCTGGCGACAGCGAGCTCATCGAGCAACGAAACGAAAGGGTCGAGGATCGAGGCGTCTCGAGTTAGGAGGCAACCGCTGGGAAATCTTCGTCGGAAGGACAAAGGAGGACTAAGCCACATTGGGGGGCTGCTACGCCGGATTCGGCCGCGCATGAAGCGGGATTACGCCGGACTAAGCGGGATCCAGCCTGATTAAACGGGATTGCGACGGACTGAACGGATTTCGGACCAGGGCAAAGTCGGAATTCGACCCCCCAGGAGTTGCATCCGACCTCGAGGAACAGACTATGACCACCAAAAAAAGCGTCCGGAGGCCCGCGCGGATTTCTTGGCTCGGCGCCGCAGGCGCCGCCAGAGGGCTCCAGCACCGATCCGAGAAATCCGCGTGGCCCTTACGGAATGCTGCCGCCGGCGAGGCCCCAGAGCCTCGGCGAGGGGGCCCCGGTGCAGCGAGCTCCTCGAGCGGAGGACGAATGCCAGACGAAGCCAGGCAGGCAAGACGGCCATGCAGCCTGAAGGACGCGTGGGCCAGTAAGGGCGCTCGTGGCTGCTGCCACGATTCGCTGCGACTACATCCTCGCCGCCAGTCCTCGAGGTGCATTCGGCGCCACAAGCGGTTGGACTGAGCCGCCCAGGAGGAGGAAGAGGAAGAGGAGGAGGACGACGAAGCCAGGACCAAAACCAAAATCTGACTGGGATCAGTCGGAGATCTGTGAGATCCGGCGGTTCTGGAGGATGTATCAGGCGCCGCAGCCGTTCCAGAGCGCTCTGGAACGCTCTAAGGGCGTCCCTGGACCCACTGAAACGAGTTACAGTAGGAGCTCGACCACGAGAAACCCAACCCCGAGACCCCAGGGCGTCCCTTAATTTTTGGTGTGGGAACGTCACGCTCTCCACAGCAAAACCATGGAAACCCAAGAAACCCAGGGCACTCTGGAGGCGAGCAGGGTGCTTCTTGGCGTGGGTTTCCACGGTATCCCTGTCCTGGCCCCGCCCGAGAATGGATCGAGGATCGAGGCGTTTCGTCGTTCTCGGCGCCTGGGGGACGTTCTCGGGCCCCAGGGCCGTCAGAAATTGACGATTGGTGGGCGGATGTTGACAAGCTTGCATCGGTCTGCAGGGCGGATGTTGGCAAGCTTGCATCCGTCTGCACACGTCCTTCCGCAGCTGGGGAGCCCACCAAGGGAGACCACAAAGGACGTACGCGCACACCTACGTACATAGATACGCCCCCCCCATCCGCGAGACCAGCTTCGTGACACGGACGTTCGCGCAGTTCGTCCTTTCATCAC